ACATTAAAACGAAAAAAATGTCTTCTAAATTTTTTGACAAGGAATGATAGATTTATTTATCTAAGTTTATTTTTTTCAAAAGATGAAATTTTGAAGAAGTTGGTTTAGTGTTATTTCTGTTTGTGTATTTGGTTATTGTTTGTGTGTACGATGAGTTAGTTGACTCCATAGACCCACTTTTCTTGGTTGCTAGTGTAATTAGTCAACTCCTCAGGTTTAAACCAAAGGTTAATTTCGTCCTTTGCAGTCTCTGGTCCATCGCTTCCGTGGATAATGTTCCTACAAACCAACATTTCATGTTACCGATTTTCATTCTCCCTCTATTGAAAAATCCATTGTTTTCGTATAAATAAGTAACTTTGTTACACAACAGGTTCGTTTTTTTTTTCTTGTTTTTTAACAAATTGCATGTTAAATATAATCAACAGTAAGTGTGATTTATTTGATTGATAAATGCACTTTTTTTTATGCACGAGTTAACATTTTTCAAACTCAATCCCAAAAATATCATTTGTGTTTAAAAAACTATAAATGAGAAGCAGTACCTTCCAACAACAATGGCCAAATCACCTCTGATGGTTCCAGGCTCTGATTTGGATGGATCCGTGGCTCCAATAAGCTTCCTTCCATATCTAATCACACCTTCTCCTTCCCAAACCTGCATATATAAATCAACAATGGCGTAATTAAAATTCCCATGTTTCCTCACAACTCTCATCGCAAAACAATAACTACTCTAAGTTACTTCTAACCATTGCAAGAACAGGGCCAGAGCTGAGGAAGTTGCACAAGCCATTGAAGAATGGACGATCCTTAAGATCATGATAATGCTTCCCAGCAAACGCCTTTGAAGGTACCACAAGTTTAATAGCTACAAGTTTGAAGCCCTTACGTTCAAATCTGGCTATAATCTCCGAAATCTGGAAAAGAATTAAAGCTCACATAATCGGTGCATGGACAAGTATGAGGGATTGAGGGTTAAATTAGTAAATTACCAGTCCTCTTTGCACACCATCAGGCTTGATCGCAATGAAGGTTCGCTCCATCTGTGGAAAGAGAAGTCACCGTTTGTTAAGATGAAATCACATAAAATGATAGTGGCATTTAGTCGAATACCTGTGCTGCATGTGCCTCTTGGTCCTGAAGCATGTATGCTGAAATGAAATTACACATATCAATAATCTCTACAAGGAAGAGAATAAGATCATAAGAAATTAAGAATCATGGAATCTGAAAGCTAGTTTGAACCTGCAGCAGGAAGTGCGAGAGCTCCGGCAATCCATTTGTTGGAAGTGTTTGTGGAATCGGTGAAAGAAGCTAGAGCTGGAAGTGTTCCTTTGAAGGAAACTGCTGCTACTGTTGCAGCTGTTCGTCCTTCTGTAAAGAAAGAAGAATCGGAGCAAATTTCATATTAACAAATCTCTACGTCACTTATGAAGCTCATTCATGAAACAGATTAACATAATAATGGTAATATTGAGATCTAAACAAGCAAGCACAATGTAGATATTACTAATCGACACAATTTGGTTCCAATTTTACTGTAATTTACAGAGCGCAAGAGATGATATTAAGATCTGATGTTGTAAGTCATCATACGCTTATGGTAATTCATCGTCGTTAAAATTTCCATCAACCAGATCCACACTTATAGAATGTACAATATAGAACGCACGTAATTCGTAATATCCAACTCAAATTTCAATGACACAACAGAATTTTACATGCTAATGGTTATATCAAAATTCAAACAGCAAACATGATATAGAAAAAACACGCAACGGCAACCACAATCTAAATATCATCAATCTTCGTAATCTGGTTTCCTGATAGTGTAATTTCCAGAATGTAATTAACATGGTAGAAGAAATAATACTACGAATCGCACATTTTTCAGTCATCTACAGCATTTCATCTTATGAAATCACGGAATCATAGTCAAAGTTGCCATAAACATTCGATAATTCACAACCTACAAGCCGAACCTCAATGCAACACAAATGGAATTAGAACGGCGTACAAAAAAACTCACCGGAAACAGCACGATGTTTGTGCTTGGAAGCCGAAGAGAGAAAAGACCTAGCAGCTCGTGATGCAGATCTGTAGATTTGAGAACTCATTCTCCTTCTCGATCGATCAACCAGTCAATCAAAATCGAAGCAATCAAATAGAATAAAAAGTGAAGTGGAGATTGAGAAGCTCTCTTTCGGAGATATATATTTATGGAGCAGAATGGAGTGAGAACAGAGGAAGGTTTGGCAAGTTGATTGGGTTTAGTTATGGAGAGAAGTATATTTATCATGAGGTTGAAATTTTAAAAAAGTTAAAAGAGAACCCATGAAGTTTTCATCAGTTGACAGTTATATACTCTAACTTCTAAATTATTACACTTGGAGTTGGAGACATCTTTTGTTATCAATCAAAGTTGCTAGAGTGTTTGAATGTTTGTTTTTAAAGTGATTTTTTTTCATTAAATAAAATAGTTAGATATTAATATATTTATCTCCAATAACAAGTTTTGATATAATAACTTTTTATTTACTTAAGATTTTATTATTTTAATTTTATAAACTCTATAAAACTATAATCAAAATTTTCAAACACTGCAAAACAGTTCAAACTGATTGTTATAATCGTAGGTTGTGATAATAAAATTTGCATATTAACACAACCTAAAATCGGCACATGATTATGTTAATTTATTAGGCCAAATACAAGAACAATAATTACAACAAGAAACTATAAATTATTTTTAACTGAATTTGAATTATTTGAGCAAATTTAACTCAATATTACAACTCATATAGTCATATACTGAATTATCGATAGAGACCGGGCTAAATGCAAATATTGTAACATGCTCTATTTTTTGTACTTATAGTATTTTGTTTTCATTTTTCTATTACAACATTGTATATGTAATAATTTTGTTATTATTTTATATTTTTAAAATTTTATTCAATTATAGTAACAGCTATATTGATTATCCCATTTATATATTTCAATGACATGGACGACAAATCATGGCTATATGATTTATTTTTCCATGTCGTTCCATTATTGACTTTTTGACTTATCCTGTGTGGAAATTTGTCCAATGAAAGAACTTTTACATAAAAGGAATTTAAGTGTGACAGTGTTATATTAAAAAGAAAAAAAAAACATTTTTTTGTTACACACAAACAATATATTCTGAATATTTACATGGAAAAAAAAAACGATGACATATATAATGTCATCATATTTCATATTAACAAGTTATACACTGCTATATAGAAGAACCGTTTGTTCTCTTGGTTACTTTGTCAACCCATTTCATCTTAAAAGATATTGAATAACTTTCATTACATAGAGTATAGACGTTAAACTTGAAGTTGTGCTAAAGGTCATCAGGTCATTTAATTGTCAAACAAAAAATCCTTTTACCTTGGGGGTATTATTGTTCATGCTATATAAACCAAGGGTTTTCTTGTCATGTAGTAAACAACATGTGTTTCTATATAATCTTCTCTAATTATATATTGTTGAAGTGTTGAACGTCAAAATGCTAACTTTGACTACTAATTTTAGAATGTTTGTGATTTGCTTTGGTTAGATCAACCAGATCCGAAGTAGTGGGTCAGAAAGTAAAGTCGGAATGTATATCGGCCGTCAAATAAACTCCCCTGACCTCGTAAACTTACAAAACAAGTTTTTTGGTTATTTTATTATTTATGGAATTTTATTTGTAACTTCTAGTCTTCTACGTGTTATTAAACTTTAATAAAATTATGTAGGCTGTCACATTACCTTTTAATCAAATTATGTTGGGTTGTGGAGACTTATCATAATGGTCGGAGAAAAAATGCTCTCCTAATGAGAGAATGGTCGGAGAGAGAATGCTTATCTTGATCAAGAGAATGCTCTTTGGTGAAATAATTCTACGTCCTTAGCTAAGTAACCGGACACTCAGAGAATACGCTCTCCCCTTGGAGAATGGGTTCCCCCTTTGGATAATGTGTTCCTTGACATGAAGAATGCGTTGTTGGGTCTGAAAATGAGCCGAAGCTCTTTAAATGCACACCAACTTAAAGAGAATGCATTGGTAAACCTTAAGAATGTGCTTCAGCAGATCAAGGATGCGCTCCAGCTTGGTAAATGTGACCCTTGTTGGTATGGTCCTTTCGAAGAATTGTCGAATGTTCCTAAATGCATGGGAGGTAGCCATATAGATCCCTCAAGGTTTAAGATTCTAAAAGCAGTTGCACGATGTTCTGTGATCGGAGGATTTCATTTGATATCTTATTATGAATGAGTCTGGTCCAAAACTAGGGTGGCATCCCTATGCTTACCTATAAATATGGACTTTCATCTCTATCAAAACTTGTTGGTGCAGATGCAAGATACGTGTGTGTATGAGTGCATAGATTTCAATAGAGCAATCCATGTGAACCTAAGAGCATATCCTTTGGAGCAGTTTGTTAGTAAGAAAATTTTCTTTTGTTTGAGAGCTTAAATAAGGTGCAATGTTTTGTGAGTGATTATAATTGTTCTTGAAAGGTTAACAGAATCTCTCTCTCTCTCTCTCTCTCTCTCTCTCTCTCTCTCTCGTGTTCGGTTTTACACTTTTTCGATTACTAGTTTTCAGAAGCATATTCCACATGTTTGACCGAAATCATTGTTTGTCTTAAGTTGCTTAATTTGTTTTGTTGAATCCCAATAAATTATTATTTATTTTTATATATACATCAATTATAAATAGATAAACATTGTATATTAAACGAATAATATATTACAAATTATAAATTATAAACGCATAAAACTAAAAGAATAATTTACCATTTATATATCAATTAATATCGTATGTATATCAATTAATATTGTATAATTTTATATTATTAAGTTATGAAATCTAATTCCGTTTGAATCTATCTTAAGATGAATATAGAACTAATCATAAAGCAAAATTATAGTTTATAGATGTACAACTCCAACTCAACGATGTAAAAATTACTTGATTATCGTTATATATTTTATTTACGGCGAATTTGCTAGCTAAAATCGTAAAATTAAAGAAATTTAACCAAGAGGATGCATTTTGTATGTACAAATAGACAAACACAACGTACCACAGTCAATGCAACAACTACCAACTATGTACACCTGACCCTTACATTGACACTTATCAATGTCACGAATCCGATGAAAGATCAACAGTGGTTGACTCCGATCCCAATTTGCATTCTTCTTGCAATGTCGTCAACCAAGCATCCACCTTAAATAAAATAAAAAACACTTTTGAGTCTGCATGCTATTTAGATCAAAGGCACATCCATCTCTCGGGTCTTTTTGTGTGGGACAAAAATTTCACAGTATAAGTACAAGACTGTCTGTTTTGTTCTGTTCTGTTCTGTCATGAGTAAGGGATTGTACCTGTAATTTTGAAGTGCTTGAGCATTCATATCTCAATCCTTGGCGAGTAACTATATAAAAATAATACCGAGTTTTTTCTCCCTCTTCTTGAGTATGACGTGGCATACGCCCTACTTCCACAACATCAGATAAAAGGGTGGAGTCTTGAGGGCTTATGTCTGCAACAACGAAATAGCAATGTACTTTCATTTACTTGTTTACTATAACATTCCACTTTTCATCCAAATACAAAGAATAGGTATGTTTTTAATGATTACATTAATAGATATGTAATTTACTAATTTATAATTAAATTGTTATTACCTGTGGACAAGAAATACAAGAAGATGCATGGCCCTAGAAGAACAACAAAACGTGGAAGCCAATCATCAACTTCTGTATCATCAAGAGGAAGTGGTTCTCCAGGTAAAGCTGTCCATCTCTGTATCAATCAGACTGTGAATATTAAATAATTAACTTATATAGGAAATATATAAAATGAGTTTATAAAAAGTACAGTTCGCATTTGTAAATAGCCTGAAAGACGAGCAGAACGCAAAGTTTCATCAATATGTTCCAACCGAGCTTTCAGATGAGCTTCTTTTTCCTCCATGTCAGCAAGTTCTGATCGAAGTGATTCAACTTCTGGAGCAGATAATATAACCTGTTGAATAGTTTTTAGAGCAAATTTGGATCAAAATGGTGAATTGGATTGAAAAAAGATGTATTGTATTATATTATATTATATTATCCACCTTTTGCTGATCATTTGTATCTGTTCCCCAAGTTAGTCTGCGTAGATTGAATAGATTCAACATGGAAGAAGCAGTTCTTAATCTTCTCTTAGCCCACAATCTGCTGTTTGAGCTATGCTAATACAGATCAAAGCAACTGTAAATAAAATCAACTTAAAAGAAGAGGATGTATGTATAAGATTGCTCGATTTATGTCAGCAATACCTCAAAATTGATTTTTGTGTGTGAAATTGAAGAACTTGTCGTTTGCGGGGTTTCTACACTCGAAGTTGAATGCGGGAAGTGATCTGGAAAAACCTCTACTCCTATAGGACCATCACCCATGAAGCTTGCTTCCACTCGGGTGTAAAACTAGGGTTTGAATAATATAAGATTGTTAAAGTTCAGCATTCGGATTAAAAACTTATTTGATTTCAAGATAAATACAATTGTTCTTCTTCTACTTCTTCCCCTCGAGCTTGTGCTATCATTACAAATTCAATTGGTGATGCCACGAATTATACTAGCAAGTACTTACAATCAAATAGAAACCAATTGTTTCTTTACCTCGTAGTTCATCATCAACTATTTAAATCAAGCAGCGAGAGAAAGGGGGAAAAGCAATATTAAGATGTTCAACTTCAAAATTAACACGATTGTCTCCATTATAAATCCATATCGACACATACACATACTCAAATTCGAAAGAAACCATACAAATTCGCGAAATCAACAAAGAATCGAAGTATATGATGGATACAGAACTTAACAACAGTATACTAAACACATATGGATCACAAACAACTTACAGTAGAAGGCTGGAGATCTTGATAATGCAGATTGAAGAAGCGATTTCTGGAGAAGTAGATAGAGAGAGAGGGAGAGAAAGTAGAGAAAGAGATGATGATTATGATTACTTTACTTAATGAGGCTGTTTTATATTCTATCAGGTAATAAAAGATTGCACCTCACGGTACTTATACTGTTTGTTGGCGAAGTTGCAATTTGCCCCCCATAATACAAAAAATACGAGTTTTTGACGAAATAGGTGTATTTTAAAAACTTATTTACCAAATAGGTATAGTTTTAAAAATATTATCCAAATAAGTGGAGTTCAAAATTATATATATATATATATATATATATATATATATATATATATATATATATATATATATATATTCTAGCATTTTTTTAGTGTTTTTAGTGTATATATATTTTTGACATTTTTAAACTTTTCACTGTTAGTTTTTCCATAGAAAAAGTTATAAAATTCGTTTTTTTAACTCAAAATTTTTTCTAGACAATGATTATGGCCATGTTTTACAAATTGATACCTAAGAAATCATATCTTAGAAAATTTTGATTCGTAAACACTTTTAATAGCAATTTGATTAAAGATATTTCTAAAAAAGCAAAACATGATACCTGTTAGATTATTTTAACTTCATGTAAACACTTTTGATATACACTATAAAAACACTTTGTTAAACAATCCATATTAAACTACTTTTAGTTACACAGCATATCAAAAACTGTTAATAATGGTTTCAGCTTCAATTTGAATATTTACAATTAGATCAATCACATACACGTAACACAAGAAAGGAAATCAACTAGACACGTGGTTCCACCGGAATATGGAATTATGGTCTACACCCGCGGTAATCTCGCTTCTCTTGCTCTTATTTCATTGGCTTCCAACACAATTACAACCTTCTTAGATCGGATTACCGATTTGACTAACTGATACTTGAAAAACCTACTGAGCTATACACTACATAGGGAAACAACTTTTAATCGATCTTTTAGCAAAGTACAGTTTAGAACTCTCTCTTTCTTTAACAGAATTAAGATATGAAATCTCAAATCTTTGAAGTTTTCTTTCTGAGGGATTTCGTTTTTGTTGTGCTATCGGATCCAGATCTAATCTACAATAAATGAAACTCATTAGTAAGATGGAAAACAGAAAAGATGGAAGCTTGAAATCAGAAAGATGAAATTAGGAAACATGAAAACAGAAAGATGGAACCTAGAAATCAGAAAGATTAAAGATGAAATCAGAAAAAATGCAGTTAATTTACACTCATATATACTTAGAAGATGAGGAATTTGAAGTTAGATTTTAGAAACATTGAATCTCGATAGAGATGGTAGCGGCTGAGGAGGCGCCGGAGGTGAGCGGTCGTGGAGGAAGCGTCGGAGGACAGCAATCAACGACATGGATTTAGTGCCGACGTTTGGTGTGGCCGGAGAGGGCGGCATACGGCCGGAGATGGAGACCGCCGGAGGAATCAGGATGTAAACGCGTGTTCTGGAGTAGGGTAACGAATTTATTTCAAAATATCCTTGTTTGGTAAATATGTTTAAAAGTACACCTTTTAGGTAAATAATTTTTTAAAAAACACCTATTTGGTTAAAAACTCCAAAAAATACCTTCACGTTTTTGACAACAAACTATTGACTTTTGTCTAAAAACGACAATATTTGAAAGTGTAAGGTGGTGTTTGTGTGAGTTATAAACACATTATATTGAAAGGATATTTACAAAAAATAGTTAATTATCACATGATTTCTTTGAGAATTATATATATATATATATATATATATATCTATATATATATATATATATATATATATTATATCTATATATATCATATAGATATATAATATATATAGGGAATGGTTATTTGGAAAACAAAAAAACCCTAAAAATCATAAAAATGCATAAAAAAAATACCTAGACATTACAAAAAAAAAATTTGAATTTTTTATCAAAAAATCGCAGCCTTTTTGACAAAATCGCTGAAAAATTTTTGAAAAATTTTTTTTTTTACAAAAAAAAAAAATTGATTTTTTTTTTTTTTTTCAGCGAAATTGTCAAAAAGCCTGCGATTTTTTGATAAAAAAAATCAAAAAAAAGTTTTGTAATGTCTAGGTATTTTTTTATGCATTTTTAAGGTTTTTTTGTTTTCCATAGAACCTAAACCTATATATATATATATATATATATATAGATATATATATATATATATATATATATATATATATATATATATATCTATATATATATATATATATATATATATATATATATAGGGAGTGGTTGAAATAAGAACTCAAAAATATTAAACATATAAAAATCCTAATTTTTTAGTGCTTATTCTTAAGAAAATGAAAAATTCATAATTTTTACAATTTAGTATTTTCATTCATAATGTATTACTATATATATAAAATAAGTATATACTAGTATATATAATTTAATACAGTTTAATACACAAAATTCACAATTTAATACAATCCATTTTACAATAATTCAAAAATTCAAAGAAGTTAAACAAAAACTTTATCATCACCCCCCACTACAATACGCTGCCACCAATCATATGTGTCACCATTGCAATCATCATTCCTTTAAAATAATATTTGTATGTATATAAAATCATGTATTCACCGATTAAATACTATATTCACGGTTTAATAAAATATTAATTCGTTTCTTTAGAGGTAATGTAAAACAATTATAAAACTACTACATTCTTACATATTTATACAACACATAAAATTAATATATTTACAAGAAAATTAATACAAAATTCAAACGTAAATAATTCATATTTTAACACAAAACTTATAAAAAAAAGTCACAACTTAATATAATTCACAGTTTCACACAGTTAGTTTACAACTTAATACAGTTAATTTCCAACTTAATACAGTGAATTCACAATTTAATACAGTCAGTTCCCAACTTAATACAGTGAATTCACAATTTAATATACAAAATTCACCGTTTAATATAAATTCACAATTTGTGTATTATACACAATTTAATATAGTAAATTCACAGTTTAATTATGTCTATTCACAATTTAATTTGGTCTATTTACAATGTTTTTTACGACCAACAAAAACATAGAGGATAGAAGTAAAAGCCTACAATATTATTTGGACATTTAATTCATTCGTACGCAATTTAACATAAAAATTATATAAAAATCACAATTTAATATATCAAATTCACAGTTTAATTCAGCCTATTTACAGTTTAATTTACAAAATTCTCAACTTATTATAGTATATTCACATCTAATTCACTATATTCACAATTTAATACATATTTCATCAAATATGAAGCTCTTGCCATGCTACAATAATCATATATGGATTAAATAAAAAAAATCATAGTTTAGTATACTATTTTGTTTATAATTCACAATTTAAAAAATTAGTTCACACTCAATCATAACCTAAAAGATTATTTCAGACATGCCTTCACAACTTAACAGACTAGTTCAAATAGTCATTCATGGTATTCACAGCTTAAAACATAGATTTTTTCATTGAGACATTTCATCAAACACCTTGTTTGCATGTAGTTTTTAGAAATTAGTTTTCAGAAATCAAAAAGAACGAGAGCAAAGAAGGGAGGCGGCAATAGAAGATGAGTTCTTATTAAAAAAAATAACCATATCTTACCATAAAACATCATAAGACGGTGGAACCACCACCAGCCACCAGAGAAGACGAGTTTTTGTCATTTCTTGACAGATCTGACAACAAAAACACTTTTTTGGCTTCAGATTTGCTCCGGTGTAGTCGGTTGTCGGATCTGAGCTTGTAATAGTATAGATCATCATCATAGCAGATCTAAAGCAATGTGAAGGCAGTGTTTGGAGGAGAAAATGACGACTGTGGTGAATCATAAGCGGAAGGATGAGGAGTTGACGTATGGTGGAACAAATCTGATACGTGGAGGTGTTGTTGGTGGTGTTTGTGGCGGAGCAGATGCGAGAGGAGTAAATGAGGTCGCGAAAATCACAGATCTAATGCAACGAAGATCATAGATCTATACCAGAGCTCTCAAATTTGAACGTCGGTGGTGGCAGAAATCATAGATCTGAACCGAAGATTGCAGATCTGGAGGACGGAATGTCAGATCTGGACGGCGGAATGTCGGATCTGGTGGTTGACGATGAGCAGCGCCGATCGTGTAAGGTTCTGGACGCGACGATTGGAGGTTGTTTGTAGGGGGCTACTGTTCAGTCGGAGAAGTCATCAGAAAGAGAAGACGACGGTGGTGGTAGGTAGCGGATGACGTCTAGCTCCAGATCTGAGAGCTTGGAGGTGGTGGTAGTGCGTTTGGTCGACGATCTGAGGTGGTGGTAGAGCGGCAGCATTTGAGGAAGGCGACGAATCTAGATGGTTGCGGTGGTGTGTGGCAGAGGTAGGTGGTGGCAGTCGGTGGTGTTGGAGTTTATGAGTTCTTGAAGATTCATTAGATAGTTTTGAAAAATTTTAAGAGAGTTTGAAAGTTTTCTTGAAGTTTGAGTGTATCAGATCTAGTGTTTAGTCGGTGTAATGTTATGAATGTATGTTGACAAAAATACCCTTAATGAAATGGTTTTTAAATGGTTCTTAACCTTTAGTGGTTCTCATTTGAACCTTCACCTATATATAAAATTTATAATTTTGGACCTGAAACCGATTAACATCTACCGTGGAAGAGGTGTTTGAAAATATATTTTGAATCACATTTAGGCAAAAAAAAAATGACGGTGATGTGTAAATGGATTTTTTTTTTAAATAAAATGTTAGAATTATCTTTTGCGGTGGGAAAAGTTAATAAGTTAATAAGTTGTTTTTCAAAAAAATATTTGTCTTAGCATATACACGTTTTAAGGGGTATTTTAGGTAATATTGTCTTTTACAACCCAAAAAGTTATAAGGAATTCTGAAAAGTTAGAAATCTCAACTTATTGATTTTTGTAAGAGTTTGATGAGAAGTTATTTTAAAAGTTTTTTTCATATTGTCAAACACTTTTTTTTTATTTATTGACTTTAATAAGTTGTTTTTAAATGAAATCTCAAACACTCTAAGTTTAAGTGGTCTCTATGTTTGAAAAAACATCTAAAACATGGTACTCACCACATCTAAGCATGGTATTTCAATTATCTCAATTATTTTTAATAGACTGCAATGTAACCCACAATCGTGACCTATTCTCAGATTATCGTGGCAATAATGATGATGATATTTGAAAAATCGGCATAAAAATCAACATCTACAAGTAACCGAGTTACTAGCGAAAGGATCTATTCGGGAAAAGCATTAGTCTGTGTGTAGTACATGTTCTATTGGTAACCAACACGAAGGTGCATTTAAAATATGCATTGATAGTGAGGTTATTTCCATAAAAGTCCTTAAGTTTATCAAAATATGAAGGTTTAGTCCATGCAACAACTTTAGGTGTGGTAATGCCTAACATTTGGGATGTTTTTGACAAATATGTCATTTAGTAGCTTAATGGTCTTGTAGCCAATAACCTTGCATACATAACCTTTCATCTTCTCCACGCAACACCCAACAAGGTCTTTGTTCCTCCATTGTATTCTAATCGTAGCCACCAAGATGAGGAACAATGTAGGTCAAGATTAGGAACTGACCCCCTCTGCTTCCCTTTATTTTTGTCAAGCTGCATGTTGAAAAGAGACAAAGTAGCAGGCCTGCGATGGTGATCTGGTCGCCCTTCTTCTTCTTTGTTTGTCAAAAATAGGACGGTTTTGTCCATGCAAAGATTTTAGGTGTGATAATGCCTAACATTTGGGGTGTTTTTGCTAAATGTGTTATTTAGTAGGTTAATAGTCTTGTAGTCGATAACCTTGCATACATAACCTTTCATCTTCTCCATGTAATACCTAACATAGTCCCCCCTCCCCTTTCTTCTAATCGTAGCCGGCAAGATGAGGAACAATGTAGGTCAAGATCAGAAATCGTTCCCCTCTTCTTCCTTTTTTCTATCGAGTTGCAGATTGTGAAGATAAAGAGCAGCGGGTTTGCGATGGTGATCTAGTCACCCTTCTTCTTTTTATCTTCTAAATCGACTCATACCTATAATGAATTGAAAACGTACGTCGCTTTTATCAGGCCTGCCCTTCATAACCCGTAACACTTCTTCCCCATACCCTTACCTCTATATTTTCTCCAGTTACCGCCATGAAACCCCATATCCCACCGCCACCCCTGCTTTTTCATCACCGACCGCCCCCAGCAAGCCATGGTGACAGTGGCTTTAGACCCAAATGCAAACTCCTACGATGTGGCCCACTTCCTACCTCCTATATCCGCCCCTGATTGTTCATTAACATCATCTCCTTCACCTCTCTACTCTCTAAACGTGAATCAGATAAAAAAAAAATGCAAGTTTTGGTTGATGTTTCATTTGGGTTTGAGGTTTTAATTTCTGCTTTGTGCATTTGTGTTGCTAGGGTTTTGATTTCACCCATGATTTCTTAGTTTAATTTATGGGTTTGTTTTAGGAATATGATATTTGGGTTTAATTTTTAGGTTTATGCACCCATTGCATCGATATGGACACTGAGTTTAGATATGGGCAAGAAGGGAAGGTGGTGGTGGACGATGTCAATATAGATATGATGGCGATGGTGGATTTCATTGATGGTGACGGTTGTGTTTGATATTTAATGGTGATGGTGATACATATCACAACATACACACTGATGATGGTGGTTTCCGGGTAACAAAAAATTACAAATCTGCACGAAGGGACCAACTGGATCCTTGTTCGTGGGCTTTCCATGAGGCCAAATGAAGAGTGTTACTGGGAAACAAGTGGGTAACCAACTAAATGTCACATTTGATAATAACACCACAAATATTAAACATAAAAACACATAAAATCGTCATAGAGAAAAAACCTCCATATTTTGACAAACTTAAGGACTTTTATGCCAATAACCCTTTGATAGCATAGTCACAAACAAAATCATAATACATTATTTGTTTCCCATTCCACGGGTGTCATGGACTGCTTGATCAACTACATGGTGACAGGTTAAACCCAACATTTATGATACACGATGGATTGTACAGGTGGATGGTCGTATTCTTTGGAGTAATCAATGCAGTGAGGATGTTTATGTCGATAAAAAGACGACATTGGGTGTACCATCGTATCTTGATAACATTTCTTCCAATTCATGCTTTTGTATCTCTTATCATAATTTTGTGTTTATTTTCCTAAGCTTAGGGGTTGACAACCTCTCTTTTACAATCATCCAAACGTTTACCTCTTAAAGCTTGGTTTCACACATAACATGCCGTTCAAATATTACAAATTAACGTTAATCCGTGCTTTTGTTAATTCGTGCTTCTTCTTCTTCTTTTTCCTTTTTTTCTATCAAAAAATCTTTGGCCTAGCGATTAGGAGTGATTATCTCATTTTTTTCATGAGATCACCTTAGAATAATTTTTAGGACATAATTATGAACAATTGTATAATTAAAATATTACTAGATTATCATTTAATAGTGCTAAATATATTTTAAGCTGTAATAAAAGATTATTTAATTATAACAAAAAAAAGTTTAGCGATTGGTTGGTCATTTTCATTTAAATGTTTGTGTTTTTTACAAGTTGAATACTTAGCGGCTTGGTTGGTCATTTTTATTAAAATGTATGTGTTTTTACAAGTTGAATACTTAACGGATTCAATTGTAATTTTATTTGGTTTTCAGATTTACGACTTTAAATATTATATTGGATTCAATTGTAATTTTATTTGGTTTTCTGATTTACAACTTAAATATTATATTTGTATATCGTATCCAAATTTCTGGCCCACCACTAGTTTATGTTATTTATGAATCATGTTTTCAAACATTTCATTGGTTAACTTGTGGGAGATTATTTTTATAACATTATGATTTTCAACGACACTTTAGACAAACATTTGTCCCACTTCCAATCGATATTTTTTGTGCTATGAGAACATAAGTTATACACCAACAGTCCTTTGAGGTGATGTATAGTTGCAATCCAACCACACCATTTAACTTAGATCTTCTCTTGTCATTCAACGAGTTAGTGTTGGTGGTGAAAAACAATCGATTCAAATTAAGAAGTTGCACAAAGAAGTACATGATTCGACACAACAATCAATATACATCATAAGCAAGTCATATTTACAATCTGTTAATGGGTTTTTAATAAAGATTTACCTTTTGAGTGACACAAAAATTGACAATTTGACATTAATTTCGGTATCAATCCAATGACCAAAGTCAGTCATTACTTTTCCAAGATAATTCAAGTTGCAAATATGTAAAAACCAAACCAAACCAAATTGAAAAGGTTAAAAGTATTCCCAAAACCTCTGAAATTGGGAATTTAAGCAACAAAAGCCCAATTCTTTGTTTACATTGAGGGACAAAATACCATGATAAATAACATAAAAACATACCTAATATATATAAAATGGAGAGTTCATATTCAACCATACCTTTATGGACAAAACGTGAAAATGGTTTAGATTTCTCATAACATACAGGAATCTTTCATAGAACTTAAAATCGAAACATGACTCTTCTCTCTTCTTGAAGCTTGATCATCAGCTTCATAAGCACCCTCCCAACTGCCAAAACCACAACCCAGAAAAATAGATTAGGAAAAAGGAGACTGAAAACCAAAACAATCAACAAATGATGTTTAATTTAATGATGCAAGATTGCATTATAGTTGTAAAAGAATCAATTTATGGGAATAACCAGAAGTTGGTGTCCAAGATAACGTATAAGCAATAAAAAAAATGTATTATACCATAATAGCATCAATCTCTTCTTGAGACATTGGTGTTCTTTTGGGCTGAAGAGATGCTTTTCCCCCTAGAGTTTTTTCAGATGGAGCAGATTTTGAGAAAAAGCTTGAAGGAACATCATTGGCAACAGGTGTTGCTTGGGTCTGAGTAGCAGAACCTACAAGATGATACAAGTAGATTAGATATAAACCAAAACGATTCATTTTGATATTCAGATGAACAATTTTTGCGCAATACTGTTTGTATATCCTGTAATACCATCGAATCTATAACCTAATTTGTAAGATTAATCAAAACTAGGTCAGACAATCAATCTATAATGATGTCTTCATGTTGATTCTTCCTAGATCGGAATTAAAAAACCTCCTGTAAATCAAATTCAAATTCTCATATGCCGAAACACAAATTAGCGAAAAATGACCTAGCCACACATAAACATTACAGAAATTAGAAACAAACCAGAAGGCGCCGGATGACGCTGAGGAAACTTGATCCGGGGGATTCTCTTCATCGCTTGTGCTGCTCCCATATCTCGGTCGATCGGTGGCGATGGTGGTGTTGACGGCGGCGGCGAATATGGCGAGGGAACTTTCTGCGGTTGCGACTTCGGAGGGAGCTTTCGTTGCTTATAGAATAATGAGAAAAAGTGTTGGAATTTTGTGATTATTGCCATTTTTTATTACAAAAGAAAGAGAAAAAGGTAATTATGAGTTTGTATCTATTTATTTGGGTGAATTTTTTTTTACATGAATGGTTTCTAAATTATTAAAAATTTGATGATTTTGGGGTTGTGAGAATACATATTTAACCGATTATTGTGATTTACAATTGTTAAATTGATTTATATGTGTTTAATATAATTTCTTATGCTTTATTTTAATTAGATTTGGTGGACATGTAAAAAATAATTTTGTATGAAGTTTCTTAGGACAAGTGTAAAAATATCAAAATGATTTTTAGTTGTACTATTTTTTATGATTTTTTGATCGTCTTCATAATAATTTTCAAAGCATACGTGAGTTTCATGATATGTTGAAATTAGAAAACAAAGAGTTCCCATGCTTGAAATTTCTTTATCTTGATTGTTTTATTTTTGAAGATAAAATAATCAGATCCTAAGTAAAAGGAATTTGATTTTTATCTATAACCATAACTATCACAAACTTGAATGAAATATGTTTTGACTATCGGATTTTAAATAGATAAAAAGACAAGTTTATATAAATTTAATAAATTTGTTCTAAGATTAAGACAAATATTAAACAAAGGAAACAAAAAGCCTTTAATTTCAATCCCTTCCTTCTAAATGGCCATATAGCTGCGAAATAGGTCGGATACAGCAAAAAGATCTAAAAGTGGAGGAAGATAAGTACAATGCTCTAATAGAAGTATTTTTTTTTTTAAAAAGTTTATCCTTATATTTTTCACAGCTCTAAAAATGAAGGAAAATGAGTACAATGACCTGAAAGTAAGTATTTATTTTTATTTTATTATTATATTTTGCTCATAGATTTATCATTTTGTACAAAAAAGAAATGATCTTTTTTTTTCTAATGTTTTTGTAGGTCTGTAGGATATGATATTTTGACAGAAAGACATCCTAAAATATCAGAAAAATATTATTTCCTTGTTAATTTTGCTGGTAGTTATCGTAGATCTAAGATGGTTTTTTCGTAGATCTAACATTTACAAAAAAAAAACTAGTAAGGAAACAAAAGTTATTGAGAAAAACATTATATTTTTGTAGGAAAATATAATATTTCTACGAAATATTCTTACAAAAATATGATTATTTTTTTTAAAGAATACATGTGAAAATATCAGAAAAAATCTTTTTTTTTTTTTGTAAATGTTAAATTTATGCAAAAATATAAGAATAAACTGAAAGAAAAAAAAAACCCTTACTTCCATCATGTCATTGTACTCCTCTTCTTCCATTTTTAGAGCCTTTTTTGTTGCAATGCAGAAATAAAAGATGAAAATTGTGGAGAAATTTCTCTTGCGGTTTAAATAGGTGGACTACTTCGGTCCATTTTGCAACTATACAGGCCCATTTGCGTGAAGGGGTTTTGTCTAAATTTTGAAACAAGTTTATGAGTTCATTTTTTTTTCTTTTAAATATGGTAATAACTATTTTATGAATAACTATAAAATTGGCTATATCCTATAAAAAGACAAAGCATACCCTTTAGACAACTCATGGTGAACACTCTTGGGTACCTATGTTGGGTAAATCACGAAGCACTAACAATATTTTAAGTGTGCAAGTTCTAACATTAGAACTTTCTTTTATGGAATTTCAAACATAGCCGCTAGACTCAGGAGGTCTATATTCCATAAATAGCTATAAGCCTATAACAATTTGCATCCAAATAAATTTGACAACCAGACACACGATAATAAGTGATTCGCAGATTTACGTGAGGAATCTCAAATTGGACTGAAGAACTTAATCAATGTCCATCCCTCTCTCCACCACTTTTACTCTTGTAGTCATCCAATTCAAGTGATATGGACGACTATAATAGTTGCAATATAAAGATGAGGATTTGATTCGTAATTTTCGCATACACAAATGGAATATTTGTGTACATTTTGCCCAAAACTTTAAGTTGTTATTAACATTGAAATTAAGATGTTACATAAATCTTTATAAGAATAACTAATCATAAAACCAAAGTACTATTATAAAGTTGCATTAAAAAATGAATGTATATCCGTTCTTAATTAGGAATCTCATATTTTTAACCAAGAGTTAGTGTGGCTACTCTGTAGCTTTGTAAAGTTTAGGTTGTATTTAGACAACATTAGAACTTGAGGATATTTGTTTGTCGTAGAATTCGGTGATTTATTAAATTTTTAAGGCATTAAAACAACAGGGGATGTAGAGGACTTTCAAAGGCCCTAAAAGGTGATTTTTTTTTTTTTTTTAATTTTAATAAATTGATCCATAGATTTCATTGTCTGCTGTATGCATGCTTTCTTAGAATTTATCTATATATAAATATATGTTTTACGATTTATATTGTTTTACGATTTGTGAGATAGTTGTAAGGTGCTATATGTTATGTGGATAAATCAATTTCTTAAATGAAATAATCGAATTTCTTATTTTTGTTAATAAAAAAAAGTGAAATAATCACGTCCCTTATCAAACAAATTTTGACCCCGATTTCTTTACAACTTTTGTCTCTCGTCTTAATAATATCAATAGCTATAACCTACCTTATGTTTAGCCATTAGCATGTTATTTTTCTGGAATCCGCGAAGATATATTAGCATGTTATTTATCCACCAAAGTTCTTTATAATATTATTTGTAAAGATGTCATAATCTTTGATCTTTGCATATCTTCGTATAAGTATTTAGTTCTTGACTTCTTTCTTCCTTGCTTGTCCTATTATAATTAGCATGATTTAGTTAAAGATCGTTTGAATAGGTCAGTCAATTAAATGGTAATCCAATTCACACTTCCAAATATTTACTTTTATGCAGTTGTCCCCATCAATTTGACTGCAAGATAACACTATTTGGACTCATCCACAGCTATTTTCTTCCCAATTGTTACTTATTTCTTCCTTTCCATTTATGACCTTTTCAACCATCATTAAATAACTTAGACTTATATTCCTCCTGATTTCCTGGTGGTAAATGGCTATAAAATCTCAATCTAAGAAAATCAATATCCACGGTAACACTAGATACAAAATCCATAGACCAATAAACATATAACGAGGACCACCAAAGCGCTTATACATAAGGGCGTTGAGGGGGACAAAGTGGACAGTTGCACATGGTCTAATTTTTTTATTATATATTTTTATTTAAAAATAAAAAAATATAATAACGATAAGAGCCCTTTTTTTTCTTGTTCGTCCTGGGCCTTTGAGAAAATTTAACTTCTCAGGACCGGCCCTGCGCTTATAGCCCGACAGTATCAATATGGTGCATCTCAGTGCAAGTGGTTGAGGATTCATGTATTGTCTGTGACAGTGATGTAATTTAAAAGTAATTTAGAGAATGCTTGTGTTGCTATTATAAAAAAAAATGTAATGAAAACCGTGTACTATCTGCTTCCATGCGTGTTTTGAAAATAATTATTATGGATTAAAGTATCAAAATCACTTAATCAAGTGTAAAGTTAAAATAGTTAGATAATGTTACAAACTTACAATTATATTAATAATCGGTTTTCTTACATCAATTTTTACCAACTTCTTCAAATCTAATTACTTGAACCTAAATAATCATAAAATCATAATTATAATCACATTTATCACTTTTATCCAAACAATGAAGTTCTAAGAAAGGTAAAAATATAATGATTGTCCAACTAGACCAGTTGAAACTAGAAAACTCACATCAAATAGATAATTAGAATATCCACAAAAAGTATGAAACAAAGAGCAAATATAAGCTACAACACAAAAAATACTATAGATCTAGTTTAGGAAAAGTATGCTAAAAGATCAAGAAAGAAAAACACATTTTCCTTTGAGAGACATACCATTCCAAATGAAAACACATAATTACAAATCTGGGCATGACCCCATCTCAAAGAGAAACCCATGATCTTGAAGAAGATAGAGAAGAAGAGGGTAAAATTGTAACTTTTCCAAGAATCACATCATGATCTATTCATCTCATGATGAACTTCAGGAGTTTCCATGATACTCTCTAAAGAAGGTTTCCATCCTGCAACACTTTTCCCTTCGAGTCTACTCTTCCCAATTGCCCCCAAAACATCTTCCAATCTTTGCCCTTCTTTGTTCTTGAGTTGTAATAACAGCCACTCTAGCTCATCTTTTGTTAATACCAACTTTACCCTCACTCTACCACTTTCCATTCCAGAACTACCCCTTGCATTCCCAGATTCTTGTTTTTCTTGTTCCTGTGGCTTTTCGTCTTCTCTTTGCTCCTTCTGTAAACATGTCTCCATGTAATTCCCCATTACTACAATCAAGAAACTTGTTTTCTGAAACTGCAACACAAATATCTTTCCTTTTTTCTTTCCAAGAAAGTGTGTGTTTATTAATTGAAAAACTCTTTTTTTATTTATGATGATCGAAGAGATTTGGAGAGAAAATTGAGGAGTTGTTAGAGAGTGTCAACTAATGCATGTGAGGTGTGGGGAACATATATTGGTATATGTAGGTGACAAATTTATTGTTGTTTTGAATTAGACCAATGGCCCACTAAAGCAACTTCATTTTAATACCCCACTGATCATGAAGAATTGTGGTTATTATTATAAAAGTTTAAACACATGGCGTGTTTTGATTTGTTACAAAATTGATTAAATTGTGATTTTGATTTTTTTTTTTTTTACTATTTTAATGTTTAACTTTAAAGTAAACGATAATTTTTAGAGTAAGACTTTGGTAAAAATAAGTTAGTTTGTAAAACTAGTTTATTATAATCTGTTGGAACTTATAAACTAACTTTTGATAATAGCTTATTATGATTTTTCAAAAATATTCTAAATATGCTATTAATTATATCTGTTGCTAGTTTTTTGTTATATACATCTAAATGTCATTTATGTCATGTTATATTTGCAATCTAGTTTATCGGTTATTTTTTTATAAAATACTATTATTTCATAAGCTAGTTTATCACCTACCAGTTAGTTTTTTAACTAAAAGCTAGGTTTTCAGCTAATCAACTAAACATGACTTAAACCTAATTTTTTTTATAGTATGATTTTTTTAAGCCATAGTAATCACTTTGTAAGGCGCATCCAAACATCCAGATTTAATTATGTGGCTTTGTGAAATCTTTAGGTTAAAATAATCAGATTTGGAAAAGGCATCAAGGAAACAAAAGAAACAAAATTTCAAATACTTTAATTTTAGTCCAGTTTAGGTATTCTACTTTTATAAATTTACATAGCAATATACTTTAAACTATCGTCATTGATAATGATTCATGTAATTTAATTCATTGTATTAGAATTTGGTTGTTATAACTTAAAGCAACAGCAGTGACTTTGCTTTAGCAAACATGGAAAAAAGTGATTAATTATGTTTCTTATCTTATCTTATATAAATAATAAATTGCTTTAAAGTTAAAATAAACATTAATCCAAATAGGAAGTTATCGTATACATGCATGTAATCTTCGTTTTCTTTGGGCCTAATCTTTTATGTGTATCTTGTGATCTTAGAATCAAAGTGTGCGATTAACTGGCATCATGTAGAACTTGTTTCCCGTGATCTTGACTTTTCTCTTAATTTTGTACTAAAGAAGGTTAATTAAATCCAAAATTGGAAATAAATGCATTCTATTTTACTAGTTAATGGGTGACAAAAAATCAACCAAGTCTCCAATAATGGAGGCAACTCGATCTTAGACTTATAGGACGATTTTAAAGTAATGTAGTTTAATTACAATATTTTGAATTAGTAATCCAAATCCATATATGACAATTTTAATTAGTTTATTTGTAAACATAATTGTTTATCTTATGTTTTATATTAATTTAAGGGATTAAATAAGTAACTTTAAAAAACTTATACGACTTTAAAGTTGCATTAATTAAAAGTTAATATAGTTAGATTATTATCATATTATATCGTTTTTTTTTTTATAATTGTATCTAGCTTATGATTATTATGTAAAAATGATGTGACCCACATATTGTCGCATCTACCAACGGTACAAATAAGTTTGATGCTCTCTTAATCACAACTACCAACTATCTGCTCTACTACGAGTTGTATCAAATCCTCTTTCCTAATCCATGTTTTAATGTTTCTCGTCTTATATAGACAAACTTATTAAATTTTCATGTATACTTAGACAGATATATCACCTTCATAATGTCTAGCCCCAAATCTCTCTAAGTAACAATGTACATAACCTTATTACATGACTTATGAAGTTCATTTGTAATTTGAGTTATTTGTTCTATGAATTTCAATTTAACGGGTTTGAACTTTGAAGTGTTGGTTGATACACAGGCAATCCGATTATGAATAATCTAAACCATTATTTTATAGTAATTTGGTAATCCAAATAACTACCTTGATAACCTAAATAAGAATTCGGATAACCGAGGTCGGGTGGCTTGAAATCCAGTTTGAGTTATATATGGTTCTATTGCAGAAGGAGACAGGGTTAGCAGTGATGATTCCCAATTCAAGCGGAATATCAAAATCGGACAAATTTCAGAAATATTGTAGGGATACAATGTTATTTTCCCTAAAAATAACAATAAGAGCATTGTCGCAGCAATATTTTATTTGTTAAAAAGTATGCCTTTAAAATATCAAATAAAAATTGGGTTGGTTCTAAACAAAAGTATCATACATTTTGATTTATTATAATTTAAAGAAATACACTTAAAACATTATTGTTTAAAATTTTAAATAAAAGAGATGTACAATTCTAGTTTCAATCAAAACCGATTATAAACCAATTTGAAAATATTTGTTGTGGTTTGGTTTGGTTCGATTCTATTCCGCTCATTTGGTTTTGTCACTTATATCATTTTTTTGTACACCACTAATTTAATTTCTAATAATATTTGACCATTTCATATGACTTTCAGTATTCTTTATTGACGTGACATCACGAATATAAATTAACAAGTTTTCGTTTTTCAACGACTATAATATAGTGAAGTAGTAGAGACCTTAATGGTCATCACACCATTTTATATTTTTCCATCATTGTTATGTCAGTGAAGAAAATGGATTTGTATATGATTGTATGAGTGCTAGACTGCTAGAACTATTAAATTGGTGGTATATTGTTGGGCTTCATGGCATGTTAATGTTTAATGGAAAAGTAAGTAGTAAACATGCCAGTTAGCTTATGTGTGTTAAAATGTAGTTTTTTTAAAAAATAGATTCTCCAGTACGAAAACATAATAACTTAATAAGTTATTTTTTAAAGTTTGCATAGTCGATAACTCGGTATATACATGTAATGAGGAAGTAATCTATTAGAAACTATTTATTGAAGTCAATAAGTAAAGAATAATTAAATTATCAAAATTTCATTATTTAAGTGATTTTTTTTTGGAGAGCAGATTTTTATTAAAAAAACTATCAAGGAGCTAGAAAAGAATCGTTACAATAAAATAAAAACTAAAGCAAGGTTACGTTACCAAAAATTTCAACCAAATTTAGCTTTGCTACACCAACTAAAAAAAAGTCTTATCTATCACATCATCAAAAAGAAAATATTTCATAAGGAAGACCGTTCCAAAAAGAATGGAATTACGAAAATTCCACAAACACCAAAAAGTAGTCGAAAACCACAACATCAAAAGCCTTCCGTTGACATCCCTCAACATAACAGTATCAGACCAAGAAACTAAAGATTGCACAAAAATCTGGTCAAGAAGGCGAACATCCCACAAAACAGCAAGACGACTTCATAAGTCAGTCAACTCACTACAACCTGCGAAAAGATGATCTATAGACTGATTTTCCATGCATTAGTAAATGAAACAAAAGATTGTATTCGTTGGAACTCGGGTTAGGTTGAACTAAAAGATTTTTGTTTCAAGTATTGAATGAAAACAACATAAAAGATTGTATTCACTGAAAGATGATTTTCATTTTTGTGATGTCGGGCCAACAGTAGCCTTTTATAGGATTAGTCTTGTCATTTCAACGAATTAATCTGACTTTTTACATGACCGGTCTAGTTATTACCATTGAAATCACCGCTTCAACAACTTGGGCTCATTGCTCAATAACATTGAGCGGATCCATCCAGGTTCTTGGATGACCAATCCGATCACCAACATGACCATTTCGGTTTAACCTTTTCGATCACCCTAACTATTGGGGAATTAGGTTCAAATTTGGTTTCCTCCCATCCTTGCCAAGGTTTTTTATTTAGTAGGAGAAGAATCTTATTAAACTAGCAAAGTGTAAGATATATATATGGAGTCCAATATTCTCTTTCCAAAAATCTCATATGAGGGATAGTGGATATCAACATATAAACACGTAGGGGTGCAAACGAGCCAAGCTACTCGGGATCGGCTCGTTAAAAGCTCGACTCGAAACCGATTTTAAACGAGCCCGAGCCGAGCTCGAGCTTAATATTAAGCTCGTTTATTAAACGAGCTCGAGCTCGAGCCTATGTCACTAAGCTCGATTAGGCTCGCGAGCCTAAACGAGTCTTTATATAATATAATTTATTATTATTTTCAAATATTAAAATAAAAACATATTTGGGAAATTAGGGATTTAGGGTATTAGTAAACGAGCTTCTTAACGAGCTCGAGCCGAGCTTAAGCTTATTTAGGCACGTCAAATGAAAAACGAGCCGAGCCCGAGCCCGAACCGAGCTTGTATAATTATTTACGAGCTCGAGCCGAGCTCAATACAAGAAAGCTCGAATCGAGCCGAGCTCGAGCTCGAGCCTCATATAACTTAAACGAGCCCGAGCCGAGCCTGACCAGGCTCGGGCTCGGCTCGGCTCGTTTTCACCCCTATAAACACGTATAGGACCTTGTGAGATAATATAGTCTTCTTTGATTAGACCCTCAAAAAATCCCCGTGTTTCCAAAATTCCGCATAAAAACTGCTTCAAATCATTTTTTCTGTGCCACGTTGAGAGAAGTCACATTAGGCCAATATATTTTATCTAAAACTGAGTAAGAATAAGAGAAATCTAATTCCCGCCACCGAGCAATAAAGAGCCCAAATTGAAGAAGCTAGGTGATAAACATATGATCGATTGTCTTTAAATGGGAATTAATGAATTATAGATGGGGCATAAGAGACATGGACGAAACTTCATCTTTTATGAAATATTCCATAAAGGCCTATCGTTCAATTTGTTACTTTTTAAGTATGTGTAATATTTAGAAAGTAAGTTTTACATTAAATAAAAACAATAACAATAATATCTTATTTAAAACAGATAAAATGTTATAAGAAAATAAAGGTAGAGAAAATCGGTTCTTTTTGTTTTTTAATAAACTAG